CTGTGTTAATCATAAACTGTTTAAGGTGTTAACAGTCCTGAAAACAGATTTTCTCATAGATTATATGGATTTTACGTGGCCAGAAAGACTGGACAGCAGAGCACACAGGCGTCGTGCCAAAAAGTGATAGTCCGCAGAAAACTGAAAACTGCTATCAGTGTGAGCGCAGCCAGCATGTTAAAGCGGTCTCTTTACATTTAAAGCCGCTTTTATCTCAATCAAACAGACAAACATGCAAATAAACATCACTTTATGTCCGTGGTAATAGCAAATGTATGTCGTTGTGATACTTGCGTATCTTATAACGGAATAATCACAATTGTGGCCAAATAAGTGTTTGCAGTTTATAATGTAACCAGGCATGACATTTATGTGATTAAAAACAATAATAGAAGCCTGTTGTTGCCATTGGAATATGTGTTTGGGAGACCTATGTCTAATATCCTTGTTTATATTTGGAAAACAGAATCAAGCCTATAATTAACATGACTTAGTTATGTATAAAATAAAGACATGATCTCTTTTGCAATTATCCTTATGACTCCACATTATTTAACTTGCTGTGTACCAACCAATCCGCTCCTTTTTACCTGTTGAAATACCTTTAAATGGCCAATACAACACATGTAATGCAGGATTCCACTCGCCAGAAAGTGATTGCAGCTTCTACTTATTGACTGAAAGGTAGATTCTGCCTCAAAATGACTTGACTTTATTCAGAAGAGTTATATTTGGGAGATTATAAATCGGAAATTGTCCCCCTTTTTATTTCAGATATAGTAACATTATAATTTTTAATGACATACTGACCACCAAACCAAAAATGTCCCCAGTTTTCATTTCAGAAGTCTGATCACCTTATTGTTACATAAGTGTTACGTGTCGTTAATGGCGGACCCAGGTGCAGATATAGACGACAGGCGGAGTGAAAGGTTTTATGACAGAAAGACTAAGAAATATTTGTTTCAGGCTGAGAGACTGGGTTAGAGCAAGGGTCAGGCTGATGACAGTAGGTTGAAACCAGAAACCTACCAGGTGGTAGTGAAGCATTTTCTCCTCCAAAAACTGGCTTCAGGAGTGATCGTGGAAAGGGCAGACAAAAAGTGCAAGTAAGTTACAATCATCTAGAGACTAGAAACTTAGTATCAAGCCTAAAGCACTCCACTGTGCAAGGAGAGGAATAATCTGCCGATGAGTGACTGGTAGCCTGCAGTTCTTATAACTTCTGTGATGAGCAGGTGAGAACCAGCTGTGCCACCCACCAACACACCTGACCGCCTCCAAGCCTGGGAAACACCAATCACACACAAGCACAAGGGAGGGAAAACACAGAAAGGAGAAACCTGGACTGTAACAACAACAGATATAGTGTATCTAGGGCGCTAAAGCTAATTTGCAGCCTCCTTCCTGGCCAGGTTAGGCTTTTAAATCTACAGTAGGTTAAAACAGATAACAAGAAAGAATCAAGATAAAAACAGAAGCTAAATAGAACAAGACAGATAAAACAGACTGTACGTGTGTATAACGTTGTTGAAAATGTGGCTTGCTAACTCCACCACTATCTTACCTCCTAGCTTTATTGTTGATGTTAGCGTTGGAAATGTTTTCCAGATCCCAATTTAACTGCAAACTAATCAACAGTGGAACTTTCTTGAACCATATACACATCTGGGTCAAGGTTTCTAATAATTTTCATTTGTACTAAGTTTATTTCCCCCTTATCTGCCCCCACCGCACCCTATCAATTGTGAACTTAAATAAATCGTGGCACTTTGCAAAGTGGGATGGGCAGCTGGAAGCATTTTTCTCATTCTGTATAGAGAGCCTTAGATACCCTAAGCATAACACAGAGGTTCATGACACTAAGGACATGCTATATTTACCATATCATTATAATTTGTCTCCGTTTCCCAGTGTTTCAGATGGGGTGGCAGCCATGACAGAAACAAATAAAAGGCTGAGTCTTTTTTCCTGCCTGGGCCCCCACTTCTTGTGACGAGCTACTTGCAGAGGCGAAAGTACTTGTCTCTCAAGTTCTACCATCTCTTCACACATTCCAGCACCTCCAAACCAATGACTGAGAAAATCTCTCTCCACGAATTGGCTGCCATCAGGCAGTCTTTGTTATTTGCAGAAGAGTAGTCTGTCAGGAGACAGATGTGTGTATTTCCTGATTTCCTCGATCAAACTCTCCTTGCTTTCATCCATGTTCGTTTTCTTCTTCTTTGTCTTCTTCACTGAAGACCAAATGAAATTGAGGGAGAAGAAGAAGAAGTACAAGCCGGAAATGCGTAGGTGGAAATGCGATGCTACCAAGCCGACCAATAACAGGGGGCTACACGTTTGCCTACGGCTGGACACAAAAGTACAAATCAGACTTAAGTTTGTCCCTTCAGCTTCCACCCCATTGGATTTTATTTCATGAAAAATATGTACAGTAGCCTATTTTAATGATATAAGTGCACAGCATGAAGCGCATGGTGCAGATGCATTTAGGGCATGTTCAAATCCATTTTAGCTAGTTTAAAAGCTGAAAAACTGGTCGGTTTTCCAGGTGGTTCAAAAGGGTTGTCTCTTAATTAATCATGGGTGTGTTTTGGGCGGAACATGCAATAATAAACCAATCACTTTCTCTTTAAAAGCCAGGTGAACTTGTATCTTGGCGCATGACTATTTAAATGGTGCGTTAATGGCATTATAAAAACATTAATAAAATACAAATTAATGAAAAAAAGTGTTCCAGCCCCCCCGCGACCCTGTATGCAGGATAAGTGGTTGACGATGGATGGATGGATGGATGAAAAAAAGTGTGTTGCAGACTGACAGCAGAGAGAGAGAGAGAGAGAGAGAGAGAGAGAGCTCATGTAAGCGAATGAGTGTGTGAGTGTGTGAGTATGAACTTAAGTGTTGACATGATAGAAAAACTTTCTTTGATTGCGAAGCCTTATGTTAATCTACTGTTCTGTCAGTTTATATGTGAAGTGTATAAATTACATCGGAGACCGGAGTCTCTGTTAATAGTAATATATTAATCACAGACACATAGATCCATGTTATATACGCTTTGCTCCACTTTGAAACATCTGTATCCTCACTGCGCTGCATTATTATAAACCATGATGAACAGGTCATGGGTCACATCTCTATCTTCAAGCTGCTTTCATTAATGTGTGTTGTATTGATGTGTTTTTTTTTTAACAATTTACCTTAATGATTAGAGAGGCTGCTTTCAGTGCATCCTGACCGATCCTGGATTTTAATAATCAATCATGTTATGCTGTTGTACCTTGTGCGTAAATGTGCACATGGGGAGATGATTCACCCTATTTCAACCAACCTGGAACCCACCTTTGCAGGCGCATCTTCTTATCTGAATAATGCGCCCTTTAAATAGCAGGGAAATACTGCCCCATTGACTTTAGACAAGATATATGTTCAGTTTAATGGTCAACCAACACCCCTATGGGCACACACAGTACATTTACTACTTACATAATGTGGGCGCTGGCCGTGAAAATGACAACTTCATTGGTTGGAAACTGGCAATGTGCTATGTGTTATTGAGGGCACAATTCAAACGCATCAAAAGCTTTGTTGTCTGAAAAAATTATGGTCAACCGGAAGGGCTAATATCCTAATATAGGGCTTAGGCTATCTATTCCTTCCTTCCTATATCCTTAGTGTTTGTGAAAACAAAAACACGGGACTCTCACAGATCATGTAATGATCCTATTGGTTTATATTGTGGCAAATATTTCAAATTAATGTAAAAATTAAAGGAACATCCATATAGGCCTACCCCTTAATTAATACTTAGTTTGTTAAGTAAGGGCTTCTTGGTTTTCACTTTATTTCATTTATATAGAAATGAAGGGAGCTCTGGCTATCAAACCAAATACCTTTACCCGCAGTTAAGTTGTTGATTGGAGTATCTGTTTTCAGGCCTGGAGTACTTAGTTAAACCAGAAGATCTGCTTTACACTTGTACCAGCACCAGAATTTGACAGAGCACAAAACAAACAACACTTAAATGTATGTGCAACAAAATGGTTTTCCTTAAAAGTTACGTTTTCTCCTCTGCAGATGAACACCTCTTCCGGAAGTAGACCCTAAATCAGTTTTTGGATTGGTTACCATCTGTGCATGTTAACAAAGATTTTAACTGGAAAATAAAATACTAAGAGTAAAAAAGGGGAATATGTTTTCCTAACTGTCTCTCGCTAAAACATTTTCTAAATGTTTCTTAAAATTCTTTAATCTACAGTTTTATTGAGCCCTAATTAGTGCACACACAGTCTTCCTATGACATTGCTGGAGGACTAATTCAAACCCTTTGACTCTTCTAAAACTAAAATAAAGTTAGTTTTGGCATCAATATGATATGTGATACATAATAATTTTGCTGTGTGATTTTGGTAGGGGTGGAGTGCCTCTTTAACAGAGCACAGATTGGTTGCCGAACCCATTTGGCTGCTGAATTAGAATCAACAGATTGAAGTTACCGGAAAAGATGTTGCTAACTGATCTGCAGGAGGCAAATTGAAACAGTGGCAATGAAATGATCTCTGAAGGCTCGGAGTTACACTTTAATCCTGCTGCAGCATTGTTGCAAATGATGGCAACAACTGAGAGTGTTATTTGTTTAGCAGCTTTTGAGGCCGTAAGCCAGTACACAGCACATGTCAGATGTTTGGGTGCTGCTGAAGATTTCTGTGAAAAACTGCTTTAAAGTCAGGCGTTTTGTATAAAAATGAAACTCAATATACAAAACTAAAGTAAACACCAGTCACAACAAAAGAAGACAGTGTAATAACTAATGTCTAATGAGATTATTTACCGCCTCAGAAGTTACATTTTCATTGCTTTCTCCCTTTTCCTCCCTTTTCAAGTAGAATTGGTCACACACTCTGTTGATATGATGACTATTTCCACATTTAGCTCTGTTTGACTTGGCTTCTGCATGCTGTCTTGGAAACTAATGAACGGCTGTCTGCCCACAGGAACCATGGTAGTGCAAGTGGCAGCCACAGATGCAGATGACCCAACATATGGGAACAGTGCCAGGGTGGTCTACAGCATCATCCACGGACAGCCGTACTTCTCTGTGGAGCCCAAAACGGGTAGGTACAACACATGTCAGATGAAAGTGGTGTTGATTTTATCCACTGATATGGCCACAGTGTGTCATTTAAAGGCCCTGAAAATAGATTTTCTCACTCAGCTTTTTACTATGAGTGATGAGTGGTCCTACATAAACACAATTGTGTATGTATGTAATGTAACCACGATGGCCACAAGTGGCAGTAAAAACCATATTGAATTTTTCTAGTGTATCACAAGAGAGAAACAACTAACATGTCTCCTGGTGAGGGTACGCTGTGTTTGTCTCTTGTTTTACCTTACTGATAAAACCATCTGTGACATTAGGGCTGTGAGATATGACTAAAATCCCATATCCCAATATAGAACATATTTTGTAAATTCAATGAAGTATTATGAACTCGTGATTTTTCTCTGCATCATGAAGGTGGGGTAAGCTATTCTGGGGAAATCCAACACCAGGACAAATACCATGATATAGAGAGAGAAAGTTAGCTGAATGTCCGTGGGCAAGCCATTAAACATTACCTGACACACACATCATGGCTGAAACGGCTGGAATAGTGTTGCATTGCTCGTCCATACAACAGACCTCTTTCTTTGGTAACGTTATGAACTCCTCGTTTTTGCTTGCATGGTCTGAGTCCTCCTGTTCAGTATCATCCAGTTCTGAGTAAAATTCACTTTCTTCCACGTTTGTTTATTCTTAAAGCAAATTTCTTCCCTGCAACACCGGTGGAAGTGTGGAAGAATGGTTCGAGTTGAAGTTAGTTTTAAAGTTGGATATTAGTTTTACATTGGACATTCAACAGATGTCTGTCAAATATCCAATGTAAAACTATCTTCACCGCGGTACAAAGCATCGTCCCCCTTGTAGTAGTGTTGAATTTGCGACACAACAGAACAAATGATTTATTACAATTAATTTTTAACAATATATATTGTCAAATGATATATATTGTCATATTGCACAGCCCTATGCGACATGATGAAATATAGTGTTACACTACCTCAAGTAGAGAAGAGCCATAAAGTCAGTAATGTCAGCTACACAGCAATATCTATCTATGCCACTGTAAGCTACTGGTCATACCCGACCAAGTGCACTTTGAGGGATGTAGCAGAAAAAACCCAGTGTATTGAAATGAGCAAGGATTTTGTTTCATTTGTAAGAACAATATTGTACACTTTATTTTAAAAGGTACATAGTGTGGCAGTAAGCATTGCTTATACTGGAAAATACACCAGTATAATGCCATTGACTGTTTTATTTTGCCATCAACAAAAGAAAGCACCGATTTCCAAAGAATAATGCTGACAAACAAGGTCTATCAAGTACCGTCACTTGGTGCAATAAGGATAACAGCAGACAAATTAGAAACCAGTTTTTAAAAAGCCTGAGTAAAGGGCTAAAATAAACTGGGAGAAAAAGCTCTGTGGTAGTTTTGTTGACTTGTAGTCCATTTTATCCTGAGAAGTGCAGCGGCAGTCCTCACTACATCTTCATAGCTGGCTCATTAGCCACTGCCCTGCCGAGGCTCAGCTACTTCATGCAAAGCACTCTTGCAAGAAAACAGAAAAATACAGGCCATCCCATAATATTAGGCTTCATCCTCTGCTTCGAGAGCAACACACACACATGCTGGGATTTTATGAATGTAGTTCTAATTCATGAACTGGTGAAAGCCACTGCAATGCAGGGATTTATGTCGTTTATTTTTCACACTCAGGCAGACACAGAAATAAGAGGGATGCTCAACAACAAAAACTCCACAGTGACCTGTAAACATTCAATAAGCCTAACCACTGGAAGAAAATGGAGCATTCAAGAAAAATGAAAGTATATTACAAGAAAGGAAATGACTTCATACTGTGTTGGCATTATGGATGTGGTGTCTGAGGAGGAAAATATGTTGTGAGCATCAACATTTCAGCACACTTAGCTGTGAAGTCTGCACAGTATTACAGAATTTCTATGTTGTTTTTCAGTTTCCAGAGACCTTCGACTAATGAAGCCTCCTGCTGAAGCTTTCATTAGGGAACATTTCAGTGTTTCCATGTTTTGGCGCAAACACGTACATGTTTTATACACTCTAAATGAAAAAGTTCCTCATGGATATCTTTAAGCTCCAACAGCTCCACTGGGACTTCTCGGAGGCTGTAAATCTTTGATTTTCATATAAGCTAAAACGTCTGTGGGCTAATTAATGTGTTAAAATGTAGCAGTCTCCTTCCTTAAAATAAGTTTGGTTTAGAACTTAGGAATTACTGCTTCAGTGTTTTCCTCAGTTCCCTTTTGCTGCTAAATTCAGCTGGTGATCAAGCACCTAACATTTTAGATGTTGGTCCTCTTATGTCATAATTGAAGCCAAATTTAGCAAGTCAAACCACATCAGTCCAGATATCTATTTTTTAGTTTATGTTTACATTATAAAAAGTACTTGATATATTATATACTTGAATAATCCCTCAAGTAATCTTATACTACATAGTCTTTTTAATGAAACTTCCAAGACTAAGTAAATTACCTGTTTATCTTCACTCATTCATTGCTAGGAGCATATTCATTGACATAAATTGTTAATGCATCCCATATTCCCAACCCCACAGATTCTTAGTGCTGGTGTCTTCAGACAGGACAAGCTAAGTGAAGTACAAAACTATTAACTAAAACCAGCAGTTTAACTAAATATTAGATATTCTGCCTCTAATTGATTTAAAGGTTCAGTGTGTAGCCTAATATTGAGGATTCTCAATACTGAGGATTCATTGACAGAAATGCAATATAATATCTATAACTATGTTTTCAGTGGTGTGTAAAGACTTTGCATAATGAACCATTATGTTTTTATTACCTGAGAATGAGCCATTTTTATCTACATAACCGCGGGCACCCCCTCCTATGGACGTTGCAGTATTTTGTCGTCATGTTTCTATAGCCGACAATGGACAAACAGCGCTACAGAGCGCATTTCGTTATCACGGTGTTCTTCTTCTGCATGTTAATTCTGTCAGTGTAGACGCTGTCACTACATTAAATGTGTCCATAGAAGAAGAAGAGGAAATAATGATAATAATAAACAGTCTCTGAGTAGTCCTCTGGTTTATTAGAAGTAAGAAGAGAAGTGACATTTGGACAAATGAACGAGCACAGTGTTATTTAGCACAAGAGCCGACAGCCTGTGGATCTGTATACCATACAGATCCACATACCATACCAGCCAGTCCAACAGATGTGTGGATTTTTCCAGAGTCAAGGCTTTGATGTATGGATGGAAATATATATTCAAAGCCGAGCTGATGTCTATTTTCTGCTGGACAGGTAATTAAGTTAGTCGGACTTTAGCGATGCAAATGAAATATGTTGTTTGATAGCTTTAGCTAGAAGCTGGCCATAATCACAGAGAGCCGTGGAATGTTTCCCCTCCTAGTGTCTGATCTTGTTGGATTAATTTCATGCAGTCTTGTTGTTCTCCAGCGCTGTGGTTTAGCTTGTCCGGTTACTTAGCGAGACAATCAGCTGATCAGTAATTGGCAATAAAATGTTAGCTTCCAGCATCGAAGCTCAGATCAGCCAGCTAAACTTTTACTGCTCTGGTAGAAAAACATGTAGTTGCATTAATTTCATGTAGTTATTCTCCAGCGCTGTGCTTTGACTTGTGGTGTAAAATATGTAGTTGGATTAATTTCATGTAGTGACTCTCTCTCTCCAGCGCTCTATTTTGGCTTCCTGAGACAATCAGCTGATCACTAATAGGTAATAAAACATAGCTTCCACCATCTAAGCTCAGATCAGCCAGCTAAACTTTTTAATGTACTTATTCTACAGCGCTCTGTTATGGCTTTGCTACATGGACAGAAATGTTTACCTTCCTGAGAAGGTAAGTTGTATTTAAAAAACATAAAAACATTTTGGTAAGATTTGTTGTTTTGTCATAAAAACACGTTTTTACTGAATAATTAAGAAAATATAATTTCTTAATATATCTATCTAAAGAAAACTCAATTCTTGACTGGCAACTCTCTGCTATCTCACAGAGGACATCTTTTGTCCTGTCTCAGGCACTGTAGCTATACAACTCGCTTGGATAGGGGAGGGGGTTGCAATTCACAACTCTCACCACTAGATGCCACTAAAACACACTGAACCTTTAAATCTGCTGGTGGGTGGCAGCACCGATTTGGTCTCTACCAATTCCCTAGGGATATATCTTGATCTTTAGCTGCTAAATGCTTCCCTATGATCACCAGCTAGCTGCTGACTGTGTCTGGGCATGTAGCATTCAGTGGGTTAGCTTGAGCCTTCTTTCTGCTGCCATTTTGCAGAGACTACACAGGCTAATGAGGAGGCTATCTTAGGTGGTCGGCCATTTATCTTAGGGTTGGTGGTTCAATTCCTGGCTCCTCCTGTTCAAATGCTGAATAGTCCTTGAGCAAGACACTGACAGCCAACTCACTACCAATGTGTACATGGATACAATGTATGTCATTTTGAAAAAAAGTTGTCTGCAAAGAAAGTGATTTTTGGGTTTAAAGTTACTCAGTGGAGCTTGAAGCTTAAAACTTTCAGCTCACAGATAAATCCCACATTGGTACTCTTTCTGTAGGACAACGGCTGGTTTATTAACCTGTCAAACAAGCAACACACACACACACCTAAATGTGCACCCAGATACAGCCCTTGGGCCCCTGCCAGAGTCTCTGCCTGACCACGACTGATTATACTTGGCTTTCTTTCCATCCACGTAGAACATGATTGGATCTCATGGTTATGAGATGCAATATTGGTGTCAGAATTGAATAGCATGGATGGCTGTCAGGGACGTGTGACTCCATGTGGGAGTTGATGCAGGGAGGCATGAAGACATGTTTGCTTGTTTGACAAGGGTAACCTCAATAACAACTTGTGAAAAACAGACAAAAAACCCCGCTGTATTGTTAGAAGTAACCTGTAAGTCAAGGGGGAAATCCTGCAGGCTTTTATGGCAGCATCGTTGCTGGCCAGAAGTCTCTATGGGTT